GAAACAAGTTAGGAAATAATTCCAGATCTTCCTTGAAATCATTTTCTAATCTTCCTCCAAGTCTTCGGAATATCCCTGAAAATAATGAGACTTCTTAAAAATATCTTTACTCTTCTGAAGTAAATGGCAGTTTAGTACACCGAACAGTCGAATGAAGGGAAGTTTATAGCGGTGCCGGTGGTGTAGTCGTAAGCGTGATTGTCTCTCTCCCCAAAAGGCCTGGGTTCAATCTCAGTCGCGCCGTCCTTCGGAAGGGAAGTAAATCCGTTGGTCCCTGGTTCATGAGTTGATGGGTCGATAGGTAGGGTCCAGGTGTGGAAATTGCCTTCCGTGGAGTCGGTAGCGTTGGTATTCAGTACGGAAAACAAGATCGACGGAAAAAAAATCAAGGGAAAAAAGAAACGAAATTTATAATCGTTTGATTGCTGTAAGGGCCCATGCATTAATTATGTCACGCTAAATCGAGGAGAAATTTACCCCCCCCCCCTATCGTGACGTTTTTCCTTTACCTAATGCATTGCTTGTCACAAAATCTTAGAACCCCTCCCTCCCCCTAGAGCATAATATATGCATCAACCCTAAGACTGCAAATCTGAAAATCTGATATCGGAACTTTGCTGAAGTGTTCAGAAATTTACATGAGTTTTACAGAACTTGTTTAATGTTCCAGTAATTTCCATGAAATTATTTGTTCTACTCTAAGGATCTCCAAGCTTTCGTGTTTTTTTTTCAAAGCTACATCAAGTTGAAGTTCTCGAAAATGAAACTGTGCCAAAAATGTATAAACTGTCCCGAAAATCTCTGGACTTCTGTAAAGTTCCCATAATAGATATAAACAAAATCTGAATTGCCCAGGAATTCTCTGGATTTCTCTTCATAAAGTTTCTCAAAATATTCCTAAAGTTTATGGAGCTGTCCTGTCTTTAATCTTCTTCGAAAGTCTAAACTTTCCTTAAATTATTATAACTGCAGTAACTTCGTGTTTGACATCGGTGAAGAGTAAAGAGAGATAGCAAACTTAACTTAAGAAAACGATTTGCAACGGAAGCATTTTTGTGTTGAGTCAACTCTCAGATACAATTTTACATGTTGTGCATAGTCTTGCAATATCAAAAGAGCTATTAGAATCAATATCAAACATGGTATTTCGTTCCAAAGTCGCGCGTGATACTGAGAACGTATGAGAATGAAAAAAAAATATAATTTTGCTAATGATTAGGCCAGCACTGATTACGTCCCTACTAGGACTTTACACCGGCCCTCAACTGAATGTTCTTTGAACACTTCTACAGTTGTTAATTGAGAGCTTTCTAAGTCTGAACCTGTACTGTTAGTATAATTGTATGGCATGGCAATCATACTCTATGTCCACACACTTAGAAATATTTAATCTTACACGTGACGGAATTCATCTTTGACATAAAGTATGAGATTTAAACAAACATGTAATGTAAAATTAAGAGCTCCGCGACTTTGAATTTGATGTCAAAATTGACGTTCGTATATGTCAGTCTCAGAGCACCCAAATTTACATCAATGTTTCTAAGTGTGCTGAAAAGACGAGACATTTTTCAACCCCAAAAAATTGCTAAAGGGCGAACACGAAATTATTGCGACACCGAAAATGTCATGCCAATTTTCTTATAATGTTTAGAATCAAACCAAAATTTTAGGGTAGTTTTATACATATATTTACTTCAAAAATCAAAAGAAAAGTTAATCGATGGAGCCTTGAGTGTAAAATTGAACGCATTTTCGCTTGATGCCCTCCATCAAAGTCTTTACAGTGTCATCCGGTACCAGTTTCTCAGTTTTTTTTTTCCATTTTCTTAACATGTCCTTCTCGTCTTTGACTGTCTTCTTGCTCTTTGCTCTTCAGAAGTTCCCGCTTCATTATTGCCCAGTACTGCTCCACCGGGCGCAGCTCCGGACAGTTTGGCGGATTCATGTTCTTTGGAACAAAATGGACAGAATTGGCCTCATACCACTCCAGGACACTTTTAGAATAGTGGCATGATGCCAAATCTGGCCAAAATAGCGGAGCTTCGTCGTGCTGCTGCAAGAACGGCAAAAGGCGCTTCTCGAGGCACTCAGATTTGTAGATCTCGCCATTTACTGTGCCCTTTGTCACGAAAGGCTCACTCCTCAGTCCGCAAGAGCAGATGGCCTGCCAAATGAGATATTTGGAGGCGAACTTCGACATTTTCTTCTTCTTAAATTTGTCGTCCACATCGAACTTGCTCTTGCCGGTGAAAAACTCCAACCCCGGAATTTGCTTAAAATCGGCTTTTATATACGTTTCGTCGTCCATCACACAGCAGCCATATTTTGTCAGCATCTTCTCGTAGAGCTTCCGTGCCCGAGTTTTAGCCGTCGATTGTTGCCGCTCATCGCGGTTTGGGAAGTTCTGTACCTTGTATGTATGTAGTCCAGCTCTCTTCTTTGCATTCTGGACGTAGCTCTGCGACATGCCGATCTTTTTAGCCAAATCACGGCTTGAGACGTTGGGATTTGCTTTAATCATCCGCTTCACCTTTCCCTCCGTATTTTTTGTTCTCCGGTCCTGGTTTTCTTCCAGCTCCTTTGCCGTGGTCCAACGTCAACCGCTCCTGGAACCGCTTCAACACTCTGGAGACGGTTGAATGGTGAATGTTCAACATTTTTCCCAACTGCCGGTGCGACAGGTCAGAAAATTCCAGGTGTTTGGAAAGAATGTGTTCTCTCAACTCGCGTTGGTTCACCTCCATTTTCGTTGAATCGAAAAACACGACTTCGAGTTTGACAGCATGTACACAATACACATCAATGAGAAAGTGTGCAAAATTTGGTTGATTTTTACCAAATGGTAAAAAAAATTATGCCCCTTTGAATGTGTCGCAATAATTTCGTGTTCGCCCTTTAGACCGGGACCGGGAACTAAATCAAGCCGCCTCCAGCATGGTCTTGCATTATAGCTGCTCCTTTACCGGCTGAGCTAAGGGTTATTTTTCGCGTTATTTTTAAGAACTTTTTATGGAATTGCCCATAGTTTACGAAATTTATTTGAACTACGATGAAGTCAATTGAACTACCCTGGAATTTGTTTCTAGCGTCTGTTTTTATCACTAGGGGTGGAGCAATTTGTATTCACTTAAACAACGGCGCCGGTGGTGTAGTGGTAAGCGTGACTGCTTTCTCACACCCCAATGAATCTGGCTTCATTCCCAGCCAAGGTCGGTGGGATTTTTCTGAGGCATAAAAATCTCTGGTCACGTCTTCCTTCGGAAGGGAAGTAAAGCCGTTGGTCCTGGCCCATGTGTGTTGTGAATGGGTGCGATATCCTACGCAGGTGTGGAAGCTGCCTTCCTGCACATTCGGTTGCCGTCAATGGATGGCAATCGATGTCCGTCGATGATTGGCACTAGATTGCGGAACAGAGACCGACGTTAAATAAAGGAAAAGAAGATCTATAAATTTCTTAATGCACTTGATGATGTAGGTGCCTGTCTTCATTGGAGCAAGTGAGCATTTTTAAGGCGTACGGTGGGGTCGAGTTCAACGGCTGTACGTCCCTTCCAAAGGAAGACGTGACCCAACATGTTTTCACCTCATAAAAATCCGAATGACCTCGGCTGGGGTCGAACCAGGACACACTGAAGTGCGAAAGCACCGCCTTTTTTCTTGTTCATTCAGTTTCATTCACATTCCTCTAGATTTGATATGATAAACAATGTTGATGACTCCAGTTAGGCAAAAATCTAATTATTTCTGGAAGACCTAAGACTCTTCTCTGGAAATCCTCTGATATATCAACGTCATAACTTGGGAAATATCAAAACCCCACTTCCACAGCTTTAACTGCGTCTATGAAACGTTTATTTTGAATGTCTTCTTAGCTTAGTTTCACTGAGACAGTGTGATTGTTAATAATTTTCATAAATTCAACCATCGATGTCAAGAACCTTCAACTTTCACGCATTGTGATCGCAAGAACTCACTTTCAAATTCAAGCAATGAAAGCCAAATTCACAAAGATCTCCAGTGACCGTTTGACACATGCCGTCAACTTCTGATGACTTAATTGTCACTCGAACACACCCTACCTGGGGCTCCAACCGGCAGCACCTCCGTTCATTTGCTCAAACATACCTACTAATTGTTTCTAACGGCATTTAATAACAACAAATACCATAGTCTCGAGAATGCGACCAGGCATCAACCGACAGGGCCCTGCACGAATCACGGCTTTTTCTTTATCTGCCGCGCAGTCCAACCAAGGGTTCAGATTTGCTCCCTGCACTTCATAGAACGCGAAATGAAAGTAAATCGCTCCTCTCGCATGCCGCTGCAAAGTCACGCCGCTAATAGCTTCATTAGCAATGAAAATCACCCCGAAGGAGTTCCGTGCACCTCTGATGGCGTGGCACGGCGGGGTTGAAGTAAATATATTTAACGACACAAACAAAAAAGAATTAATGGGATGAAAACGTGCCCCCTTGTTTCGGATTTTCCGCGCTGAAGCACCCATTTATTTATTGGTTACGACAACGACCCGAAAGGAAAGTGAAAAGCACTCCCAGAAATAGAATCTATTTGTGATAAATGATTTATTCGAGCACGACCTCCTGCTGCGGGTGGTAATGGTTTGCTGGTTTTGGCGAACTGAAATCGATCTCGCGTGTGGAATTGCCCAAAAATAGACTCAGCAGACAACAGCAGTTTCGATTCCCAGTGGACTCGACTTTACCTCAGAGTCCAATTAACCTTCCCTTTCGATGATTTTGCCATCGGAGTTGCTTTGTCTACAGGAAAGCGACAGTCACCATTGGCAATGAATCTGACTGGTTACAAACATACACACCTCGCCAAATTAGCATTCGGTGATATTTTCATGGGTATTTATTTTCATTACCTGCGTCGTCGTCGTCGTCATTGCCGATTATTTACCCTTAATCAATGCCATCGATGAACGAGTAATGACATTCTGTTTGTTTTGATCTCCCCACTTTCGATTTCCGCAGGTAAATGGTGGAAGCGTAGCCGATCAGGCTGGTCTCATGGCAGGTGATGCCTTGGTCAAGGTCAACGCCACCGACGTATTCAATCTGCGTCACAAGGAAGCACAGGATGTCATCATGTCAGCGGGAAATTCCTTCGAGCTCTCAATTTCCAGGTTTGGTTGACCATCCGAATTACTTTTGATAAATATTAACCTTAATTTGAAATCAACAGAGGCACAGCCTGGAGACCATCGGTCACTCCAACCGGATCGATCCCATCGCCTTCGCCATCTCTGCCCGGAAACATCACTCCGGTGACGAAGACCTCGCTGGCTGCGACTCCACAGCCAGTTCAGCACATCGGTAGCGGACACAACCAGGCTGCCAAGCCTTTCCCAGTGAGTTTAACCTATTGTTGCCGGTATGTTGCTAATGCTAGAGCTACAATAAAACCAATTTCAATTGCAGCAGCAACTGCAAGCACAACAGCAGCAACCGGAGCAGACCAACGGAGAAGAAGGACCCATCAAGAGCATCGTCAACAATCAGTACAACACCCCGGTTGCCATCTACAGTGACGAAACGATCGCCGAAACGCTGTCCTCTCAGGCTGAGGTCCTCGCTGGAGGCGTTCTAGGGTAGGCCACTGGCACCGTATATTGAACTTAAACTCAACGGACGACCGATTGAAACCTCTTTTTCCCCGTTTTAGAGTCAACTTCAAGAAGAACGAGCGCGTCTACTCGCCGGCCAACTCCGAGGTGTACAAGATGCTGCACGAGCAGGGCGACGATCCGGAACCAGGTAATGAGGATCTGTTCCCCCACTACTTCGCACTGGCTTGTATGTTGAAGCTACTGAATGATGGTGATGGAAACATTTTCACATCCGATCGGTTGATTGATTAATAATCCGAACGTGCGATCATCCGGTTCGCACCGAGAATGATCTTACTTCATATTTGCTACTACTACTACTGCATATGCAACCCCACCTCGAGCATCGTCATGCCGCATCAGTGGTTCGTGAGTTAGTGAGATGAGCATTTTTTTTTTGACGTCACTCTAAAAATCACGCGAAAACAGTTTTTAAATTTCTTGCTGTAAAAAGTGTCCCAAGAAACGTGCTCTCTTCTCTCCCTCCGTTCGCGCGGGTTCATTCATTAGGTGGACATTTTCCGACATGACGCGTTCTGTAATTTGCAATGCTCGTGTGAATGAGTTTTTTTTTTGTCTGTTCGTTTTGGCTTTCAATCAACTAACCAATCACTGACACTTATGAATGCTAAAAACTAAATTTTGAGTGACATTTGTACACATCAGAAACACGGCAACACAAACTAGCACATATCTGAAGCTGGTTGCTGGCAAATGGTCAAATAATTTCATGGACTTTTGGGAAAATGTATCGGAAAAAATGGAATTTTGGCAAACACGCGATCCTGATCCGGTGAGTCACGCGGAAAACATGTCACTCGCACTTGGCGTGTACCCTAGATTAATTTGGAGTGTCGAAAGTTGGCACCCGCTGATGGAAATCCAATTTCTGTAATTGTGAGTCAGAGTCTAAAGTTTGTCCAGTTTTCATTTTATTATTTACTATAAGTATATCGCTTAAACTATTCTAATTGAAGCAAAATTTTGACAGTAGAAAGTGGACTTAAACAACAACAACAACACCCTCAGTATTAATGCCCCGTCTTATGGTACAAACCATGCAAATTTCAATGGGCAAGACCCTCACTTCTGTTCTTCTATGTTATTTTTCAGGAATATACACTCAATCAGTGTTGGAAAAGTATCAAAAAATCAAATCTCACCAAAAAACAAGATCACGCTTGATTTTCGTAGACAAAAATCAACTTGCAAACAACTGCTGTTGATATTGCACGCTGTGATATCGCAGCATGGAATATCGAAAACTCACCAGCTGCAAATCTCACCAAATTGTGGTGAGATTGAGTTTCATGATGTTTGCTTTACAACCGAACGCAACCGAAACTTACACAACTTACAAACTTTATTTAAAATTAAGCTTTTTTGAAAATTTCTGGTGAAAAATCTGCACCGTTCGGATTGGCAAGTTTTTTGGAAAATTGTTGGTCTCAAATTTGCATCCTTCTGCTGAATAGAGAAACAAACATTAATGATAATTGCTGGTGTAAAATTTGTACCATTCTGATGATTGGAGGGAAGCTGCTTTACTGAAAATTTGGTGGAAACCTGCAACATACTGATCATAGGAGAAGCAAGTTATATTTAAAATGTCTGGTGGAAAATGGAAAAAATAAATCTGCACATTTCAGAAGATTGGAGAAGTATTTTTTATTGAACTTAACGGTGGAAAATTTGCATCGTTCTGATCAATTGAAATTTTCTGGTGTAAAATTTTATGGGGGCAAGTTTGTATTGAAGATTTCTGATGAAAGATTTGCAACAATCTGCCGCATCGAGAGGCAAGCTGAATTGAAAATACCTGATGTAAAAGTTGCACAGTTCTGGTGAATGGAGGGGTAAGCTTTATTGAACATTTCTGGTAGAAAAACTACAACGTTTTAGTGAACGGGCGGGCAACTTAAACTTGACTTCCGAGGAGAATCTCAGAGGTATTGAATTCTGAGGACAGTTCTAAAAGAGAAGATTTCTGGGGATGATTCCATGAAAATTCTGCGGATAATTTCTACTAAATCCTGCAGATATTTCCAATATAATTTCGAAAAGAATACCGAGAGAATCAAATTTTGAATGAAATTTCAAAGGGATGTTGAGAAAAATTTAAAGTGAATTCCGAGGATAATTTCAAGCTTATTATGGGAAGAATTTCTGGAGAATGCAGAGGAAGTTCTGCTGAAACTTTAGGATAATTTCAGTGCAAAGGTGTTGTGAGAAAAAAAAGTTTTAAAATATTCCGAGAAGAACCTTAAGGATATTCAATTCTTATGACAGTTCCAAAATATTTCTGGGGAGAATTCAAAGAAAATTCTGCAGATTATTTCTTGTGCATCTTGTAGATAGTTCCATGATAATTTCAAAAATAATACCGAGAAAATCAAAATTAGAGTTACATTCCAAACGGATTTTGAGGAAAATTTAAAGCCAGTACCAATAATTTCTGGTTCATTCCGAGAATATTTTTTTTTTAGGAAATTCTTTTGAAATTCTAAGGGAGTTTCAAAACCAAGGTGTTCAGAGTAAAAGACAAGAAGAGTTCTAAAAATAATTCCAGAGGACTTCTGAGAAGAATTTCAAAAGAGCTCATAGAATTCTAAAGATTTCGAAAAGAACCTCAAGGAATTCTGAGGATGGACTTTTTTGCAGCTGTACAAAGTTTAAAGACAGCTTTTGGATTGCCTAATTGAAATGTGGGTATTAGTTTGCAATTGAACCTTGGTCTATTGTCTTACTAAAAAATCGTCTAAGAATCCTTTCTGAATATTTCAAGTCATTTATTACCGTGGTTAAAAAGTTACAGCTGTTTATGTGCGTTGCAATAAATTCGGGTCTGTCCTTTATATCATCTTGAAAGCATGCTGAATGTTCGGTATCATTTTCTGTCACCCCGACCGGCGGTTCTTTAGGACGGTTCATCATCGACATCGTCGATGGGATTAAATTGCCAATTACCAATTGTCAGACATTGGTTGTCTGAAAGCAGTTTGCATTGAAGAAGATGAACCACCACCGGAGCAAAAACTAAATAAAATTAGCTAAATTAAATCGTAGGGAAACAGTGATGGATGGACAGCGCCATCTCCCACGCACTTTTTAGTTCTCCCCATCATCAGATTAAATGCACCATAGAAAAAAATTGCCCCTCCTTAACAAGACTCCTGGGCACGCTAGTGGTACAACGGAATGATTTTTGCGTAGATGTATCTCTCAGCTTTAACTTTACACGTAGTGAATAGTCTTGCAATATCAAAGAAACTTTTAACATCAAAATCAAGCATGATATTTTGCTTCAAAATCATGCGTGATGTAGAGAGCGTATGAAAGCATATATATCAACTTGCTAATGATTACACCATCACTGCACTCAATTATGATATCACGCATTTTTTTTTTCATTTGGTCCATATTAAAATGAGCAAAGGAATCAAAATTCCACTAAACCTTTCAATGGTTTTTAGTTCTAAAAAGTTGCACTAAATTTGGTTGCAATTTGAGATCACACGATCAAAATAGCATAGCAAAGCATATGCGATTGTACAAATCGTGGGTGGCTGTTTAATGGTCAACTAATACGTTTTGCAGAAAATATCGTGTGTTGACGCAGAAAATATCACTTGGGATTTGTGATTTTCCCCACACAAACATAAAATCTACAAAACAAGCATCGCATTATACACCTGGCCACATCCTTACAATCGCAGGGGACGGGAGGGAAAGTTAATTCAACATCTACTTAAGAAGGTGCAGGGAACCCATACTACCTTCATAGGTGTCACAGGACGGAAAGAGTTGTGTTAGTGGGAGGGTGAATGATTTGGAAGCTCTATTTGTCAATATAGAGCATTTTATAAATCAGTGACACAAATGGAATCTAAATAGATAAAATGAAAAGATCTCACCCGATTGGCCTATTGACTTTGCAGCGTCATGTTTTCGAAAATGCTTTATTTAATGTTCCTTGAACCACCGCAATCACTGATAACGCTCTTCTAGCTCGCATCCACAAAAGAACACACTCCACGCATAATCAAGGTCATGTGTTTTCGGACTTTCTTCTTTAACACTACACAAAGACGTTGCTCATCGCTGCAACAGAAAAATAGATCAGCGCGCGAACAATAGATCAGGCGTGATTGAGGTCATATGCCGGATAACAAAAAACAATGTGAGAGCACACAAAACACCATTGTATCATTAATTCCAGAACAAAACGTTTGCAAAAACTAATTCAATCAGATTAAATTATCGCGCACGGGACTAATAACACGCCACGGAGGAACGGCACAACCTCTCTCAACCGAAGCACAAAGCAGACTCTTGAGATCACACGATCAAAATAATGAACGAAATAAAATCACATTAAAACAGAATACATGGATGCCAAGCCTATTTAATGTTATAAGTGCAGGATTCAGAAAAAATTCCAAGTCCTGGAATGTTTTCTCTAATTCCATCTTTCACCACTTTTCTTATTATGTTCAACTGGATTTTATACTAACTGCCATTGAATTCAAAAAGCCACAGCTAAAAATAAGCCGTTATTCTTATTGTTAGCGGCGATGGTGGTGTAGTGGTAAGCGTGATTACCTCTCACCCCAGCAGGCTTGGGTTAAATTCCAGTCGGCGCCGCTGGGATGTTCTGAGGCATAACATCTCTGATCACGGCTTCCCGAAGTAAAGCCGTTGGTCCCCGGTTCATGAGTTCATGGATCGATAGGTAGGGTCCAGGTGTGAGAGCTGTCTGCCTGGCGTCGGTAGCATTGGTGCTTAGCACGGAAAACAAGATCGACGGAAAATAAATCAAGGAAAAAAATCTTACTTTTGTATTGAAATCTGCAAAACACACGTACTTATAACAATACTCTATTTACATATTTTCAGTTTGGTGCAAATCAAACCTCCACTGCTTTGATGTACTTACTATAAACTGGAAATAGAGTAGTTGAACCCGCATCTCCATTAGAGTGGATCACCGTTTTAAGGAAAAAACGTAAACTTCACCTCATAAAGCTAGAACAATCCTTGTTTGGTTCCATTTGGGGTCCCAAACAACTATGCATAGTTTGGGGACGATTGAGTGAAGCCCGGCTTGCCGCATTGCGTTTGAAATTTTTATCTTAAAATTATTATGGG